AGTTGGAGGTTGCTGTGAGCTGTAATGCCACGGCACGCTACCCAGGGGGAGAGCTTGAGGCTCTGTCTCAAAAAAAAAAAAAAAAAAAAAAAAATTTGCATTCCCATCAGCAGTGAAAGAGTTCCTGTTCCTCCACACCATTCTTATTTTGTTTTGTTTTGTTTGTGAAATGGGTACATGCTGTATGATTCCAACTATATCACTTCTGAAAATGGCAAAACAATGAGGACAGTAAACAACAGACCAGTGCTGGTCAGGTGTTAGAGGCTAGGGAGGGAGAAACAGAGCACAGAGGATTTTTAGGGCAGCAACACCACTCATGACACTACAATGGAAGATACAATGTCACTGAAATGTGTCTGAACTCATGGAATAAATAACACCAAGATTGAACCCTAATGAAACTATGGATTGGGGTAAATTAAGTTATAGATATTACTACACTTCAACATGTTTTCTCCAACAAACAAGGAGATTCTCCTACAAGCCACAATATTATCATCACACCCAAGAAATCTGACATTGATACAAAAACATTATCTAATATATAGCCCAGATTAGAATCTCCCCAATTGTTCCACTATCTTAATTTTTTTTTTGAGACAGAGCCTCAAGCTGTTGTCCTGGGTAGAGTGCCGTGGCATCACAGTTCACAGCAACCTCCAACTCATGGGCTAAAAGCAATTCTCTTGACTCAGCCCCTCAAGTAGCTGGCACTATAGGCGCCCGCCACAATGCCTGGCTATTTTTTGTTTGTAGTTGTCATTGTTGTCTGGCAGGCCCAGGCTGGATCTGAACCCACCAGCTCTGGTGTATGTGGCTGGCACCTTAGCCTCTTGAGCTACAGGATCCAAGCCTTAATATCCTAATTTTTTCTTAATATCCATGATCTAGTGAAAGATTATGTTTTGAATTTAGTTATCAGGACTCTTCAGTCTCCTTCAGAATAGAATAGCCCCATTTGCCTTTCAGAGTGTTAACATTTTTTCCTGAAAAGCCTTAAAGACAGATTAGAATGTCAATGTTATGCACATAACTATGATATAGTAATACAGATAACAAAAATCAGTAAGGATTGCTAATATATCTTCTTTCATATGTAAGTCAATTGATACTGTCTACAATTTAAGCATGGTTTTTAAGAAAATAATAACTCCAGTTGCTTAATATTTTTAGTAACCTTTGAAAGGTCTTTTAATAAATATTTCAGTAAAGAACATTTTACTTAAATTCTGTAAGTTTAAATTGTTTCTTTTTCAAATTAAACCAATTACTGTGTATTTCTGAAATATATTGATAATGATAAGTTTTACTCAAATATTTGAATTTTTCTTCAGGAAAAAATATAATGAAAATCATTGGTACATACCTGATTCATACAACTCTTCTTCCATTGATAGCCCAACTTCTCACAAGTCTCTTTCAAGCATTGATAAGATCTGTCTGCATCCAATTTGGTAAAGAATCGTGTCATTCTTTTGACCAGGCGCTGCCAGGGGTTCTATATGTCCAAAAAAAAAACTTCATAAATCCATTATGACTAAAAAGAGTCATATCATAGCCACTTTGTCTGAAAGTGCTTTTCTAAGACTTAGAATTCTTTTGCATGAAGGCCTCTCCCTTCTATCTCTCTTGTCCAAAAAACATGCATAATTTAAAAGTTATATATCTAAGATTTACACATTAAAAAAAGACTTCAAGATAATAAAAAATAAAGAGCTGCCACTATATACATGAAAAATTTAATTCCCTCACCTGTGAGGATCCTGGGGTGCCAAGTAACTGACTATTCAGAAGCATGTGATCAGGACATGTGGGTTGGGAAAAACTGATCCCTTGCACCAGTTTATCAATGTATGAGGAACTGGCATCCCATAAGGACAGGCTTGTCCGTGGTTCTGGCTGGGAACTGGAGTACTTCACATTTTCTTCACTAAAGCATTAAGATAGAGAGGAAAATACGTCTCTAAACAAAATCCATCAGGCCTTCCTTCCATCAAACAACCATTCTTTCACACTGACAAAATTATGTTCATCATTAAGAAAAAATACGTACATGCATCATTTCTCTCTGTGGGATGTTACATTCAACAACTACTTTATGAGTCTTACCTAGAACTATTAGATGGAGAGAAGTCCAAATTGGATTGAATGTGCTTGGAGAATCCACTGGGAGACTCTGACACACCACCTGAAGTGACTCGGGGCCTCTTTGCCCCTAAAAAGCAAAACAAATACAAACTCTTTCACGTCTTCTATGTAGATATTTTTTTTTTCCATTTTTTTTTCTTTTTTTTATTGAACGGTAACTATGTACATTAATGCACTTCTGGGGTACAGTGTGGGGTTTTCACATGCAATCTGAAATACTTCCATCAACTGGTCAACACAGCCTTCATGTCATTTTCTCAGTTTTTGCTTTAAAACATTCACATTCTACTCTTAGAAAGATTCACCTGTACCCCTATAAGGTAAACCTCAGAAGTAATCCCTCCAAACTCCCTCCCTCCACCCATTACCCCCTCCCTTCTCCCTCCCCCCTCCCCTATGTAGATATTTTTTTTTTTTTTGAGACAGAGCCTCAAGCCGTCCCCCTGGGCAGAGTGCCCCCTGGGCAGAGTGCCGTAGCATCACAGCTCACAGCAACCTCCAACTCCTGGGCCCAAGCGAGTCTCCTGCCTCCGCCTCCCAAGCAGCTGGGACCACAGGCGCCCGCCACAACGCCTGGCCATCCTTTGGTTGCAGCCGTCATTGTTGTTTAGCGGGTCCGGGCCGGGGATTCGAACCCGCCACCCTAGGTGTACGTGGCTGGCGCCCTAGCCGGTTGAGCCACAGGTGCCTAGCCTAGATATTTTTTAATTAACCCAACTGGCAACTGGAAGAAAAATTATATCTAAATCCATTAATTTAACCCCAAATACTTATAAGATGAATAGTGACGCTTATATGATTTTATAAGAAATCTGGTCAAGTTATAAACTTACTAAGACCCATGTGCCAAATTAGACATTTCACAAATTTGTGAACTGTAACTATGTTCCAGGTGTGGGGTATCTAAGGCCACAATTTTAATGGCATCTTTCACAGGCTACCAAACAATGTTCTATGAAGACAGACAGACCTAACTCAAGGACTGGAAGTTTTTAAACTAAAGAGTAATTAATGATAATGACAGTAAACATTATGAATCTGCTCCATCCAACATTCTTTGCCCCCCCTAGAAAAGCTTTATCAAGAAAAATGATTATACAGAAAATGATGCGACTATAAATTCATGGTTACAATCCTCAGCTGCACCCACGACATCAGCTTACTATCCTATTTGTTTCTCTGGTCAGTTTCCTCTCCTATTCTCCTCCAAGATTATTCCAAAATTTCTCCAACCTTCTGAAATTCCAAGATCACCCTTTATCACTTCATTATTTGCATATAATATCTCCGATCTCACAGAGAAAATGAGGCCATTAGACAGAAATTTCCTCAACCTGTCACTACCAAATCTATTCACACCCATCCTTTCTTCCCCTCCATCCCCCTATCAAATGTCCCCCCCTAACTGTGCTATGGAGCTCATACCCTCATACGTCCTTGGGAATCTTGATGCTCTGTCACTTATTCCCTTCCTCTTAGACCAGTGTGATTTTCACCCAGTGTGCCGTGGGAGGAACTTAGGTGCACCATGAAAATTTTTAAAGATCATTAATTATTTGCAAAAGAAGTTCAAAGTACACTAAGTATATTCCTCTTTTTACTCTTTTTGATAATCTACATAATTTAAGTGTGCCACAGAAGTTTAACTACATGTTCAAGTGTGGTATGAGATAAGATCTCCCAAAACCAAACACACTACCCTATGAGTTCCTTGCTTAACATCTCTCAAGTTTCTCCAACTGCCTTAAGTGAAAGCCTAAAATCCTTAACATGGCTCACAAGGTCCCCTCTCCAACTGGACTGCTAGCTATCTCTGTGGCCCCATCTCAAACTCCTCTTCCTCTCCCACTTCTCTGTTCACTCATTTACTCAACATTTACTGACCAGCCTATGATGTACCATCTACTGTGCTAACCACTGGTGATGAACCAGACAGACACGGTCCATGCCCTACTGTCATCAAGAACCATAACACAAATTACACTTGGCAGAAACTTTAATTTGGGGTTTAGAAGCTGGTAGGAGGAGGAATATGGGAAGATGGGAGACAATGAGAATGAAAGACATCTGTCCCAAGTTCCTCAAATGTACCAGACTTTCTGAAATCTAAGATTTTCCAAATACTGCTTCCTCCTACTCAGAATCAAAGCTGGCACTCACCTTGCCTGACTAGCTCCTTTGATTTTCAAATCTTAGATTTAATATCATTCCTCAGGAAGAAAAGCCTTCCCTATACAGTAAGACTTGGTCAACACTTAGCTATAGTACCTGGACTTTCCCCTTTATAATTATTGATAAGCAAAATTATTATTTATATTCCTGTTTTTCTTACTAGACATTATAATCTCCATGAGGACAGAGACCACAGCTCTCTTGTGTTCTGACTTATGATACTGACTTTGCAAGTACCTTTTCTTTCATAGAAAAGAAATTTTTGCATTTTAAGAGTATTACCTTTCTTGAGTGGTTTATTGTACCATCTATCTTTTTTGATATCTGGGATAGTAATTCTTGCTGATGGATTTTCAACCAGGATTTTATGCAGCAGAGCTAAAAATAAAACAGTAAGACAACATTTACAAAAGAGTCATGCAGATTGGGAAAGATTATGGCTTGTGATAGGGAACACACTGTCTGCTGGCCTACTTGTTTCTACATATTATTTCTGGGAAAGAGAAAAAATAAAGCTACTAAATTATTGCTCAAATTTCATGGAGTTGTTCCTTGCTGCTACATCTTAGAATATTCTTCCTAGATCTGAGTCTCAATTATGGAGTAGGGCACTAGCCCCATATACTGGAGGTAGTGGGTTCAAACCCGGCCCTAGCCAAAAATTGCAAAAAAAAAATGTTTCTCCCCATGTGACAACATTAAGAAAAACTCTTATCCATTTTTAGTACCAACTTTCATTGCTGTAATATGTCATGTTCTCATGTGACGACCTCATTCACACAGTTTCATAAGGAACATTTACTTATCAGTAGCTTTTTAGGAGACAGTAATATAACCAAGCATCATCCCATCAGCCTAAGGTATTTTCATTATTTTAATAAAAAATTCATATATCTCCTAATGCCAGAATTATTTTCTAATAACCAAAAATTTAAATGCAAAAATGAACATCCTCAAATCCATAAAAACACCAACGGAAAACATGTTACCACAAAGGACAAGATAATAGATTTGAAAGTTATAAATTTCTACATGTCAAGATAAAAGAAACAAGATGTAAATAAATGACAAATTATAAAAAATATATATAGAAAATGAAAATACTATTCAACATTAATATATTAATAAAGCACACTTCAGAGTGGTCACAAAAACAAATCCCCTTGCCAAAAATACGCAAAATAGACAAAAAGCTAATAAAGAATATATAACTTCATTAATGCTTTATTTTAAATAAAAATTAAAAACAGTATCATTTATTGCCCTGTTAATTTTCTTTTTAAATGTAAACCAATGAAACAGTATAGACTTTCTGGAAGCAATTTGGCAAAATAAGCTTAATGACTAAAAACTATATACATCTTCAAACCTTCGATTTTCTTTCTGGAGATTTAGGTAAATAATTTAAGTATATGTGCAAACATGAAGTTACGTGGATGCTGATCATTTCTCTTTTCTAATAGTGAAAATTTAAGAACAAAATCTAAATCTTCAACAAAGTGAATGGGATGAGTACATTAAGGCACATCCACAGAGCAGAATATAGAGACCACAGTTTTTAACAAGCATGTAGTCAAGGAAAAATGATCACAGAGCACTAAAACCAACAAAACAAAACAAACAAAAAAAACAGGTTATGAAATAGCTGTGTATTATAATCCCATTTTGTATAATACATAATGTTTCAGTCAGCAGAATGTATATAGGACAATGGTTGCACAGGGATATAATACTGTTACTGTTTCTATGTTCAGATACATAAATACCTACCACTGTTATGATAGCACTGCTTAGTGGTTAGTATAGTAACATGCTGTACAGGTTTGTAGCTCTGGAGCAATAGGCCATACTATATAGCCGAGGTGTGTAGTAGGCTATACCATCTAGGTTTGTGTTAGTACACTCTGTGATGTTCCCACAGTAATAAAATTACCTACTGATACATTTCTTAGGCTGGATCCCTGTTATTAACATATGACTATATTTACAATAATGTAGAAAAACATATATCAAAATTTTTTTTTTGTACATGGTTTCAAGTTGTCCTAAACACATAATGCATTCCTCAAAATATTTTTCAAAAGTTATTTCTGAGTTCTAGGATTTTTATTTATATTTTCTAATCTATTTACACAGATCATAAATTATTTATGTGTTCACTTACAAGTTAAAAAGAAAAACTGTAAGAAAAAAATAGCACAAGACTTAATTATTCAAGAAATCAATAGTTTCAATAAAGATAGTGCAGTTACCTAGAGGAGCAGAATCGATTTTTTTCCAAGGGTTGAGGTATGTTTTTTTTTCTTTCCAATCAGAATATTCCTGACAACTATCACTGGGCTGGTCCCATGGCAATTCTAAAAATAAGAAAAGTGATTATGCCATTATAAAAATTTAAAAAACAATAATATAAATCCACGAACAGCTATTCATTCTATGTGGTTTTCAATCTAATAATGCCAACTCAGAAATTTCAGAGGCCCTTCAAAGACAGATAACCACTTCTAGCCCTACTCTCTTTATAAATGTTTACAGAAACCTTAAAAGAGAGAGCTGTTGTGATTTTTCATTTAATAACTATACATACCTCATTTTAAAAAAACCTGGGAGGTGAAAAGTTCCAAATTGTTTATTAATAAGTTACTCCTTGCAATGGCCTAAATGTTTGTGTCCCCCTCAAAAGTCACAGCTGAAATTCTAACCTATTTGGTATTTAGAGGTAGGGCCTTGGTGAGGTGATAAGGTCATGAGGGTGGGAGCCTTCATAAATGAAATTAGTGCCCTTACAAAAATACATAATAGGTCAGGCTCTGGTGATTAATGTCTATAATCTCAGTGCTTCAGGAAGCCAAGATAGGAGGATCCCATCTCTATTAAACAAAAGTTAGCTAAGCATGGTGGCAGGCATCTATACTCAGCTACTCACAAGGCTGAAGTGGAGTGGGAGAATTGCTTGAGCCCAAAGTTTGAGGCTGTGTGCTATGCTGACACCATGGGCAACAGAGTAAGACTCTGTCTCAAAAAAAAAAAAAAAAAGACATAACAGAATTTGCTTCTACGCTCTCTGCTCTCCACTACGAGAAGACACAGCAAGACAGACATCTGTGATTAAAGAATAGGGCCCTCGGGGCAGCGCCTGTGGCTCAGTGGGTAGGGTGCTGGCCACTGAGGGTGGCAGGTTCGAACCCGGCCCCAGCCAAACTGCAACAAAAAATAGCCGGGCATTGTGGCAGGCACCTGTAGTCCCAGCTACCTGGAAGGCTAAGGCAAGAGAATCACCTAAGCCTAGGAATTAGAGGTTGCTGTGATGCCATGGCACTCTATTGAGGGTGATAAAGTGAGACTCTGTCTCTAACAAAAAAAAAAATAGGGTTCTCACCAGAACCCAACCATGCTGTCGCCCTAATCTCAGACTTCCAGCCTCTAGAACTATGAGAAGTAAATTTCTGTTGCTCACAGTCATCTAATCTAAGATACTTTGTGATAGCAGCCTGAACTGATGAAGATGCTATTAAAATTCTATTATATTAATATGGATTCTCCACTTGGCGCCTGTGGCTCAAGCGGCTAAGGCGCCAGCCACACACACACCTAAGGTGGTGGGTTCGAATCCAGCCCGGACCCACCAAACAACAATAATGGCTGCAACCAAAAAATAGATGTTGTGGCGGGCGCCTGTGGTCCCAGCTACTTGGGAGGTGGAGGCAGGAGACTCGCTTGAGCCCAGGAGTTGGAGGTTGCTGTGAGCAGTGAAGCCATGGCACTCTACCCAGGGGGGCAGCTTGAGGCTCTGTCTCAAAAAAAAAAAAATATGGATTCCCTTGGTTTATTTCAATTTTGGCAAATTAGACTTTTCATAAGACAAGAGTTTTATCATGATTAACTAGCTCTCACCTCCAGCCAACATTGCAGTGAGCACTATTCCACAGGACCAAACATCAACCGGTTCTGCATGAAATTCTTTTCTCTTCAGAAGTTCTGGAGCAACATAAGGTAAAGTACCACACATCTTGTTCAACAAACGTTCCCGATTATTATGCCGAAACACTGTTGCCAACCCAAAGTCAGAGATTTTCAGGTTATCTAAACCAAAGGGGGAAAAAAAGGATGACATTGAATAAAAATGTTTTCTAAACACATAAACTTAAAGGAATTAAGTTTCATTGGAAAAATCAATGGTGTTACTTAAGGTTTATAGAAGCTTTCTACCTTAAAAATGACGAAAATAAAAAAGAAATTTTGAAAAAAAAGGATAAGACATTATTATCTATGCTAAAACTAGAAAAAGGTCTCATGTCCTCAATTATTCGACAAAAATATTAGAGAAATAGCTTCTTCAACACACAAAATAGTGTGGACCAGATTAAAGAAAGATGCTGGAGCCAAAGGGGCTGCCTTTCTGGAAAACGCAGGATGAAAGCAGACAGCACGGAGGAGACCTCAGTAATATTGGGGCACAACCTTTTCAGAAGCAAAAAAAATGCGAAGACACACCAAACCAAAGACTCACAAATCACAAGAACTTCTTGTCAATGTGGCTAAGCTGGGAAAACAAGAAGAAACTCAGTACCAAAAAACCAGAAGAACAGAAGAACAAACTTTCACCCTAACTTACCATCTTCAACACACACAAAGTGCAGACAGGACTTGGAACTTAACTTCTACCCTGAGTATCTACTGTAACCAAGGGACAGGTACTATGCTAGTCAACACAGGTAGTTGATAAATCAGTGAAGATAACTGACAACAGAAAACTGTTGTGGAGGTTATGAAAATATAGAACATTACAGGATTTTAGAGCAAAGGGATCTAACCTAGTCTTGGGAGTTAGGGAAATCTCTTCATTATCAGAGGTGTCAACTGGTGAAAACCTTTTCAAAGGGCAAAGCGACAAAAGATGATAAGTTCAAAATAGTCAATCTTGAAATTAGCAATTCTCACTTGTAGGACCACATCCAAAAAATACTCCCACAAATTCACAAACATAAGGATATTCATGCAATATTATTTGAAAATAAATGTCCACTAATAAGGAAGTTATTAAATCTTATACTACATGCATACAATGAAAACTACGGAAATTATTAAGAAGATATAGGGCAGCGCCTGTGGCTCAGTGGGTAGGGCACCGACTCCATATACCAAGGGTGGCAATTTCAAATCCAGCCTCAGCCAACTGCAACAAAAAAGTATATGAACACTGCAGCAGCGCCTGTATTCCTAGCTACTCAGGAGGCTGAGGCAAGAGAATCACCAAAGCCCAGGAGTTGGAGGTTGCTGTGAGCTGTGACGCCACGGCATTCTACCGAGGACGATAAAGTGAGACTCTGTCTCTAAAAAAAAAAAAAAAAAAAATTTTTTAAATAAATGAAAAAAAATTGTTTTTAAAGATATATAAGTATGCAGTAACATGGACTAGAGTATAAGTGGGGGAAGAAAGACTAGTGACATAACAATTCTTGTACCTGGCCTGCACGCAAATTCATAGAACAGTTGCTACTGTTCCATAATTTTTTCATTTTTTGGCCGGGGCCGGGTTTGAATCCACCACCTCCGGTATATGGGGCTGCTGCTCTACTCCTTTGAGCCACAGGCACCTCCCCCTATAATTTTTTAAGTTAGGAAAAAATGTCTCAGCTCGGTACCTATAGCTCAAGCAGCTAAAGTATCAGCCACATACCAGAGCTGGTAGGTTCGAATCCAGCCTGGGCCCGCCAAACAACAATGACAACTGCAACCAAAAAAATAGCAGAGCATCATAGTGGGCACCTGTAGCCCCAGCTACTTGGGAGGCTGAAGCAAGAGAATCACTCAAGCCCAAGAGTTTGAGGTTGCTTGTGAGCTATGATGCTACAGCACTCTACAGAGGGCAACAAAGTGAGACTCTATCTCAAAAAAAAAAAAAAAAAAATCAAATACATTCATACAGTATGATACGTAAACTACTGAGGATGTTCATCAGTATTGACTTTGGAGGTAGCTACTGTAATTATCTTCTCAGTAGCTAAATATGACACAACTTGGACAAATCATTGAGACTAAGCATTCCAAGTTACTTACAAATAATGATCACTTAAAATACTAAGCCAGAGCTAAAACACTCCTTGGATTTTGTTCTTTTGTCTTATCTGAGATATAGATATAGAGAATACTATCTCTAACATAGTATTCATGTTAGAGAACTGCCCGTAATAAATTCAAAATTTAAAGTAAGGGGAAATACATTTGTGGAGAAATGCATAGGAAGACTTCAAACACTGGTAATGTTTTACTTCTTTTGTTTAAAGAGTAGGTCCAGGCACAGTGACTCACGCCTGTATTCTGGCCCTATAATGCAAGGCTGCGGCAGGTGGATTGTCTGAGTTCAGGAGTTCCAGAGTAGCCTGAACAAGAGTAAGGCCCTGTCTCTAAAAACAGCCAGGTGTTGTAGTGGGCAGCTAAAGCCCCAGCTACTTGGGAGACTGAGGCAAGAGGATCACTTGAGCCCAAGAGTTTAAGGTCACTGTGAACTATGACACTACAGCACTCTACTAAGGGGTGACAAAATAAAACTGGTCTCAAAAAAAAGAAAAGATAATTACTAAATATTGAATAGAAACTAAAGAGTACTTAATATACAAGATATAACATTGTAGTCAATATCTACTCACTTTAAGAATGTTCTATTTCCTTCAAAGGCTCCTGTAAATACTTCATATGAATACATTGTCTCCCCTACCTTCTCAGAGGTAACCACCATTCTGAATTGTCATATTATGTCCTTGTGGGCTTTTGTTTGTTTGATTGTTTTTACTTTTTTAAATTGAGACAGGGTCTCACTAGGCTGGTATCAAACTCCTGGATTCAAGCTATACTCCCCTCATATAGAATCAGACCATATGAATTATTTTTCAACTATCCTTTTTCACTTTACATCATTATATTCCTGAAATTTAGCCATCTTATTGCCAAACCATCTATTCTATAATGTATCTGTTTTACTGTGGGTAAACATTTGTTTAGAGTTTAATGCTATGTTAGTCAGCACCACTGTGAGTGTTCTTTTTTTTTTTTT